AACGGTTTGATGCGTTGGAAACTAGACTCGTAGACCTTCGATTTCATTTCTCGCGGAGACCATAACTCTTAATAGATTGAGAGAAAAAGTCCGGGACATTTGACTCAAATTTCAGATAAATCTTTAAAAAGGAATTTACGGTAACTTTCGCCAACTTTTATTTTGTCACTTACCTAACTTCAAAACTTGAGATACCACACTTGAACACTTAAAATATCACATAACACATCATTTTTAATTATTACTCACCCTCCTTGTCTTTCCATGAAGATACGAGTTAATTTAGACGTTTTGAAAAGTCGGGGTGTTACATTTTAACTTCAATTTTTTTTCATTTTAATCATATACATTAAGAACATAACATTAAGCTCGCCAAGAGATAAAATCAATAATAAAAGATGATTAAAATACTATACGTGAAACATAAAATAACTAGAATATAAATGTTCTTTTTAAAACATCAATTAAATTTCTTTAGATTATCCAGAAGGTTCAATAAAAAGTTAAAAGAGTTTGAAAGTAAAATTGTAATCATATATATAATCACTTTCACTGATCAACTTATATTGCAAGTGATACACACACTTTGTAGAATATATCTATCAAAAATATGATTGCGTCATAAGGATCTTCAAACAAGAGATTATGCATTAATAGTGTCACACGAGCTAACCTTTACGATTATATCATATATAGGTCCGAATGTTCTGTTTTATAAACATTTTCATCTTTGCTTTAGATTTTAATTGATGTGAGTAATTCAAATACTTTTTGTAAAAATAATAATTTAATTCTTAATATTAAAATTCAATAATCCTTAGAAATTTAAAATTATGGCATCAATTTATATTATTAGAAAAAAAACAAACAGAAAAGACATGGGTTTGTTTTTCCTCCTTTCCTAGATTAGTGTCATTTGAAATGACGGAAAGCTCCCTCGAGGATATAACCAGATGAGGGACAATTAACGTCAGAATACAATAAATAAAATAATAGTACTAATAAGATTGACAGTACATCATAACAAGGAAAGTCAGAACATCAATTCCGTTTTCCAATCGCCAATCGGAATTAGGGTTTATTTCAGTTCAACCAAATACTAATTCGAAGACGAAGCCTTTGGTCAATTGCTAAACCCTAATTCCTAAGTTTGAATTCCTGACGACTTTGGTGCTTTCACGGATTCCAAAATTAACTCGATCTCTCTGTTTCAGCGAGTAAGCTCCTTTTCCCTATTTCCTAATTTTGTTCAAATACTCAGATCAACATGTTTCATTCATGAGGGAAATGACTAGAGGTTTGATTCTGCTTTTAATGTATTGATTTTGAGGGTAGCGCCTACTCTCGGTGGTACTCGCAGTTCGATTCTTCTGGTAACTTGGGCACTACTGTGATTGCTATGCTCAAAACTTGGTCTTGTTGCATTTCTCAACTAACTTTCTAAAAATGTTGAGCTTGGCCTCATAGTCTGCTATTTCTTGACAGACACAATGAATCTCTAAAAATGTAATAGTGGGACTGTAGCTAATTGAAGTTTCTGAGTATGAGATTTTGCTGAATGAGTAATCATACAATTGCTGTTAGCTGTAAAAAAGGAAAGCAGAAAGAACAGAGTGTAAATGAAAATCAATTTCTTGCATTGCATGGTGAAAGAAGCCTACTGTTGTTAGTTGTTTAGTGGGGTCTCCATTTTTGCATGTTTAGATAAGATGCATATTTCAAGCTTAGGATAAAATATTTTATCATGTACTTCTGCTGCTTAGGGGATGTGGTATCTACTTGTTAAAAATGAAAAAAATAGACTTACTAGACTTTTCCTATCGGAAACTATGTTATCGTTAGTTTTGTATAAAAGTTTGATGTCTTGGTGTTTGCAATTCCTGTTGTCATTGTCTACTAAAGACAAGTAGTTTTTTCTCTTATTTTCTCCTCTTTTTGGGATCCCCATTAACAATCTGATTAAACATTATGTATCACTTCCTTTTTTCATCTATTTCTTCTGCCTTGTCATCACAGATGTGGACATCATTGCTTAAGTACGACTTGCCTCCTTACTTACCTAAAAGTGAAAGAACCTTCTACATCTTGTGAAAGCATAGTGCTGAACATTGAGTAACTTTTTGCCTACTTCATTTCTTAATAGATTTTGTTTTCTTAGTTTTATTTCATTCCATGTCCTTTTGGAAGTATCTGTGCATGTCCACTCTAAGACTTGCCAACCCTCCTGGAAGGTGGAGCTTTAGAAATTGAAAATATGAGTGTATCTCTGTGTGAACCCACATTCTGAATTTTCTATTAAGTTCACCCAAAAATGTTGTAATTTTGTTCTGGATATAGCTTTGTTTTGGCACATTCTTTTTTCCGATGCTTCATATTTTGGTTTTGTTAGACCAGGAGAGCTTATGCAAAATGAGGGCATCAGGTAGCTTATTTTTGGACCAGGTAAAAAAAAGGTTGATGAGCTCTTTTTTTTGAGAAGGTAAACATGTATATATTAGACAAAAAACAATACATGAGTTGTACTGGAACAATATATACAAGTGAGCAAAAGAGAGCAAAACCATTCTACTGTTTTGACAGGAACGTAATGTGTGTATCCTCAGGGTGTTTCTAGTTTCACCAAAAACATAAGAGCTTAATGCAGTTAAGTTTAATTTTCTGCACTCTGTGGCTGCTGTTCTCAAAGCATCTAGAGTTCCTTCCTTTCCAAATTGTCCACCAAATGTGCAAGCAGTGACCATCCTCCATCTTTTAATACTTCCTTGTTCTTTGTGGTGGTCTCAATATTACTCTTTACATCTTGTAGTTTCTGCTTATACTATCCATTCTGTTTTAGTTCCAGTGCTGTACTCTGACCGTTGCCTAGAAAGATATGGACCTATTCTAACCTATTGATATTTTCCAGGAGATAATGCTGTACTCACATACTTGTTACTAATTAATGGATCCTGATAACAAGAGATTTGGAAGAGGTAAGACCCTTATAATGTTTTGCTTTTTCCCTTTGAAACAGAACTAGTAAACTACAGTCCTTTTGCATGGTTCCCTATAGAAGCTAGTTATATGCATAACTAGCTTCTGTTTTACAGTAAAATGAATTTCATTTCATCAGGTTTTTGCTCAAATGTGCAGCTGGCTGATTTATTTTCCCTTGCAATCCTTGTTTTGTGGCAGTTATCTCTTTCAGGATGTAAAAGTCATCTTTTACTGCCTTCTCATTTTTGTGTGGTTTCTGCATCCAAAGGATTCATGGTTCATTTTGGAGAAAAGAAAAGGACTATTGATGCTATGTTATATCTCTGGGGCCTTACATGTGGCATAATTGTTTATTATAGAATGGGTTTTTGTAAAAGTTTGTCATCACAAAACAATGTATTCTCAAGCATTTTCCTTCATCACCTGGATGGTGTTAGCTGTCAGATTATAATTCTTTGACTTTTGATCGTTGCGACTATTATAAGCCAAAATTGATTAAATCTTGACAAAGGGAATTGATATTTTGTTCACGTGTGAGGTGTTGTAAAGATTACTGGACTACTGAAGAATATGGGATTTCTTTTACTTGTCTAAAAACAAAAGCTTATGGGTTTTCTCGAAGTGCTTGGATTTATCTCTTGATGTCTCAGATGATGGATTGAAATTCATACTCTGATATGGTGATCTTTTTGATAACCATATCAGAGTTGAGTTTTAATCCATCATCAGACTCTGATATGGTTATCTTTAGAATGCCTGCTATTTTTAATCAAGAGATCTTTAGTTTATAACTGTTTTGGTTTGGTCAAAATGCACAACCAGGGCCCAGAGAACTTACAGGTGCTGTGGATCTTATTAGTCACTTCAAATTGTTGCCTCATCAGGAGTTCTTCTGCAAGAGGTCACTTCCGTTGTCTATTTCAGATACCCACTATCTTCACAATGTGGTCGGGGACACAGAAATTAGGAAAGGGGAAGGGATGCAGTTGGATCAGCTTATACAGGATACTTCCTTGTCAAGAGAGACGAGTTCACGCATCCAGCCATTTGACCTAGATGTTCTTGGTGAAGTTTTTCGACTACGTGAAGCGGCTCCAGTGGATCTGCCTCCTGTAAGAAATCTACTGATTGAAACTTAAGTGACAACAATCCATTTTAGTTAAGTGTTTTTTAGGTAATGCTATAACTTCTTCTGTTTTATAGTCTGAGAAAGGCATCCCTACTGTAGCTGGAAAATCCAAAAGTGAGTCGAAAGACAAGGAGAAGAAGCATAAAAAGCACAAAGATAAGGACAAGGAGAAGGACAAAGAGCATAAGAAGCACAAACATCGTCATAAAGATCGAAGTAAAGACAAGGATAAAGACAAAAAGAGAGATAAAAGTGTTCATCATGATTCTGGTGCTGATCTTTCGAAGAAACATCACGAGAAGGTCTGCTACTAGCAAAACCTTGAGACAATTGGTGCAGTATGTTGATTCTTACTAAATATATCATCTGCTTTTTTGGTATGAAGAAGTTCAGATGACTGGTTTAAAGAACAGCTCTTTCAAATTAATTTGCTAATATTGTCTTTTCTTAATAGAACTGTCCAAACTCCAAAGCTGCTGAAATATTTGTCATGTGATAGTAGAACTTTGCTGAACGTTACCCTTCCTTAAATTTCACTGGATCATACAATTCTATCGAGTTTGTTATTCTTTCCTGTTGTCAGTTGCCTTTATTGGATTGCAGGGAGAAAAAGTCAAGGAAATAAAAGTTTACCTTTCTTGAAAAATGCAACCTGGACCCTTTGAAATGCTCTGTTGCTTGACTTTTTAGTTAATAAGGCAAAAGGTTTAGTTTGCTCTATGTTTAGCTTATTAAGGTACTTCGACATCAGCATAAATCTCTTTCTTGCTGCTGTAGCTTTGATACAGCTCAAGCTATCTCTCTCTTCTGACCCATTTGCAGTAACCTGAACTTTGAATTTGTTAATCTCATTTTTTGAGAAGGTAAGGTAAAATTTTACAAATGATACAGCACAACAACTGTGTTAGCTGTTTAATATCAGTAGGGGAATTTCAAAAACAAAAGACAGCCTTAGCTAGCCCCAAACTGATTCTAAAACCTATAGCACTATTTCCACCTCATTTACATATCCCAGTCTACACCTAAAACAAAACAAAAATCTTGTGAATAGAGTTGGCACCATTGTCAAAGCATCTGCCAGCATGTATTAGCACTGAATTAGATGAGACTAGGTTGACGTTGTAAACTTCTATTTGCAAACCTTGGTTTTTTTCCCTTTCCAATGTAAGTTCTTGTTCTATTGATGCTTATCTACCGTCTACTTGAGTTGTTTTTTGAAAATCACCAATTTTTGCTGGAGTTTAGGACTTCAGCCAGAAGCAACAATGGTACTTCACAGTATTGAAAGTGTTGACTGATTATGATATTTTCATTGTTCCCAGAAAAGGAAGCATGATGGAGAGGAGGAACTTAATGATGTTCACAAACACAAGAGAAGCAAGGTAGAACTGAATAATTTTGAATTCATATGTTCCTTTATCTTTGGTATGTTTGCAAACTTTAAAGTGGTGTTTGAACAACTTCCTTTTAGTGTTTTCCTTGGAGAAATATTTTTGAGGAAACATTTTTGCGAGAAAGATGTCTGGATAAATGTAGTACCTTTTTTTTTCAAGTTGAAGTTGCGTGTCTTTTGATTTGAATATTTCTATTTTTTTCAAAAAGTAACCCAGAACTTTCTTGTCGGAAACTTTTATGAAGAACTTAACCAAGCAAGTATCCAGAAAGTTTCAAGTTTATTGTTCTGAACAAGTTACATAGGTGATCTTACATTGGTACTTTTATCTTCATCTTTTTCTAACTCTGCCGTATTCACATGCTGAAATATTGCAGCACAAGAGTTCAAAGATTGATGAGATTGGTGCAATAAAGGTAGCAGGCTGAAATATGTGTGTGGTTCTATCATTTGTTTTATCCTCAGACTTTGCAATTGTTGGAGGGACCCTTTACTTAGTATTGTGAAAAATCAGAGGTACAGAAGTTAATGTCACGCTATATCCCATTAATTGAAGAACTTAGTGGCTTGCCCTGTTGCTTTAATCTTATATTTTCCACACTGGTAAGATTGTTCCATTGAGTTCACAGTTTAGTCAGATTGCACCACTCTTTGTGCATATGTGATTTTGCTTTTTATAGTGGTAATTTGTTTTCGTTTTCTGAAATTACCAAGTCAACTAACAAACACATTAACTATCTTTACTGTGTTAAGGGAGCAGCATATGAAGAATCAGGTATACTTTCTGTGCTTCCGTTAGGCATCTAAATTAGTATTTCTCCTCCTTAAAAGCCAGATAAATTTATCTTTAGTATTTATATCTAGATACATGTTCCTTCTTTAAAATGCTAAGTAGTATATCATCTCAATAGATTAAATCTTAAAAACATCAATCGGTCAAAATATGGTTGTGGTAAGAGAAATATTTGACAAGTTGTGGCAGAACTCAACATGCATATTATCCCAATGCCTGACTCTATACTAAGCTGAGGTGTAAAATAATCATATTTGTCTACCTTGCCGTACATGTAAACTAGAGGATAAAAGGTTAAAGTTGGCAAAGGTTAGTTGGAAAGGATTGAAACTTCTTAGCCATATTGGCAATACAAGCAATCAATTCTGTGTGATTCCTTAGCTCTTGGTTTCCAATTATTATAGAATATTCTCTCATATAAGGGTTAAATATACATAAGATTCTTAGTTGTGTCACTAAAAACTTCGATCCACAGAGGATGTTCTTGACCGTGTAAAATGGAGTATATCAACTGACCAAGCATCTGGGTATTTGTATTTTATCCAACTTAAATAATGCTTAGGCAGAATGGCTCTGTGAATTTGCAGTATGATAGTTGTTCCTTTTGGACATATTTGTAGGTGAGTGAGAGAGTGGAAACTGGATGCTCTGTGAAGGAATTGCATGAGCAGATTGTCTAACTTTTTGCTCAAGCACCCTTTTCTTAATTTGTTTTTAATTATATAGAATAGAGGGAAAGGGGATTACAAGGTGGGGAATCGAACCCCCACCAACAAGGTGGAAGTTTAAGTAGCCAACCAACAGGGGCGATGATGGGCTCAAGTACCTGGGTGCATAAAAACATCAATTTGAATATGTCCAAATTTATTGGTAAATCTGTTCACTTTTTGGTTGGTAGAGTTGCCATTTAAAATAAATACTGATGTAGGCCTTGATTAAAAAAAAAACTGATGTAAACAGATTCAGCTTTATTACGAAGTTTCTAGTGTCACTTAATTGAAGTCTGACGGTTTGACCTATTTTTCCTTATTTTTGTATTATTCCTCCCTACTTTTGTTCTCTAGACAAGAAAAGAGAAGAACAGTATCAGAAGGAAAAAGAGAAGAAGGGACAAAAGGGAAAAAGGAAAATAAGGATATCTGAAAATCCATGTTCCCTTATCGAGTATTAGAAGCAGGAACTTGACTTCACAGTATAAACTTGCATTGCATCTCAATGTTAAGAAAACCCTGTATATATTTTACTAATTGTTAAGACTAGTTCTGTGTAACCAGTTGGCAAGTATTTTGCTCCTTCCGAAAAATTGTGTGAGGAAGGATCCCATAAGGAAAAGAATTTGCCTGGCAGTCTGCAGAGCTTTATAATCGCATGGACCGTTTCTTATTTATATGGTCCATGTACTTGCATATGTTTTAGAATTCCTTTTTTGGGATAAAAGAGGAGCGCACTACTTATACTTTATTTCTCCACAAGAATGTTAATGTTGCATCAAAAGTGTTTGTAGCAGCCTAGTATGCACTCCCTTGAGTGCAAATGTAGGTAGTCCTTTGACTGCTAATCTGAAAATCAAATGCCAGCAACTACCATCACATATTTTTCTCTCTTTCTCTCCTCTCCCTGATTGTGTATTTATTTTTAGAACTGGAGCTGTGATAAGAAAAAAACGAAGATGGTAATGTATAATTTGTTTTCAGTTATTGTAGAAAGGCTAAGCAAGACACAACTAGAAGAGTACTTCAGCATATGATATTGAACAATGCACTTCCAACAGAAGATGCACTTATGTTTTCAGATGTCCCTGAAGGGACTCCAAAACTGCACATTTTGGCTTAAGAAAAGCAGCTACCTGCTCAGTTTCTGGAATTTTGTATTTAAGGTGTTGTAGAAAGGTTAAACAAGACACAGTTTGGACAGTGCTTCGACAAGTAAATATTAAATGGTTGGATTTGATAAAGCAGCTTTCTGTTCAGTCTCTGCACCATTCTGAATTTTCACTTTTAACAGGTATCCATAGTGAACATCTGTGTATCTAATCCTAGTGATATTAAAACTTATTTCTCTATATCTGCAACATATGTCAGTTGTTGAATGCTTGTTTCGCTTCCTCTTGAAGCCAGTCTCTGCACCAATCTGAATTTTCACCTTTGAACTGGTATTATTTCCATTTAGAATATATGCCATTTAATGCTGAATGCATGTTTCTATTTGGAAGCATCTATAAATAAATTATCTTTTTGCATGCTACCTAATGACTTTACAGTTGTTATAAGGGTCTAATTTGGGAACCAAGTCTTTGATCTTTTTGTGCCTGGAGTGTGTAATATTTCAATGATAGGTTTTAGCTTCATTTTTGGTGGGTGGTGGGTGGGTGGGTGGGGGTTT